ACTGCTGTCCTTCAACTTTCTGAAACTTCCTCCTTAGAATAGCTACATTCAACTGTCTTCTATGTTGAGGGTGCATTTAGTTTGCACTTCTCACCTTGATCTCCAAGGCAAAAAGCCATCCAGGAAACAGGGTTGATGGTGCCAGGCATGGGAGTGTCGCCCTTTCCATGGGAATTACCTCTTCTTTTAGATCCAGGATGTTAGAATGCCTGGAGTCTCCAATAAACTTTGTCTGTATTCCCTGACCCACTAACAAAATGTGATGCTTTTATGTGACATACAGTGTGTCAAGGGAGCCCTGCTGGCCTGTAAAAATTATTGGGAGAATTGTCATTATATGTTCATATGGGATTTTCATCTCTTATAAAGTCAACATGATCTCAAATACTTTGAAAACAAGTTTCCTCAGACATGCAAGGGAAGATAACACTGTTTTTGTTTGATTATTTGATTTCCTCTCCTCCCCTCAGGTAGAAAAGTGCCAGGAGACACACAACCTTGATCCATTTCAAGGAAAAATTCACCTCGAATTTTCCAAAAAGCGGGAGATTCTCCTTGAGGAGAGAATTAGGCAAGAGTTTTCTGAGAAAAACGTCAGGTACTCTAGTTGCACGTTTATAAAGCCTCTTTTTGTTTCAATTTTGGGGAGGCAGCTTTGAAATAACCGATCATTTATTTTCCCTCTGTAACTGGATGAGGTGGCAGCTTTTACCAGACTCTCTCGATCATAACGCATTTTAATGGTCAGACATGTGCTTAATAATACAGGCGGCACCTGGATTCTTTAGAGCAAAGTACTGTCAGGCCCTGCACTGTATTTAAACTGCATTTTTGAACCGAAGCCTACAAGTCTCTGTGCTCAAAAACATCTCACCGATTAGAGAGAAACAGCCCAGTGCCCGTTCACATTTTTCTTCCTCAAATTAAGGGGGATTGAGGTTTAACTTTTATAACTCTGAACACGAAAAATATTATAATTCTAAGTGATTAACTCCACTCCATTACGGGAAATCTAATAAATTTTATAAAAGTCCTCTGACTGCACATTTATTCTTAACTTTTATGACTCTGTGGAATGAGGCCCCTTCTAGCTATCGATCTTGAGTCAGTACTGAAGGAAAGGAAATTTGTTAAATAACTACCCAGCACTCCGCTAAGTATTTGAGATATACTATCTCATTTAATTGCCACCACAGTCTTGTGAAGCAAAATCTGTTTTTCGCTTCCTGTGACAGGCAATCTCTAAGATGATCCCCAATCATCCACACCTCCTAATGCTCATGACTTTGTGTAATCCCCTCCATTTGCGCATGGGCTGGACTTCTTTACCTGTAATCAAATATTGGAAATGACACTCACCTCTTCTGCCACAGTCTGTTTCCTATGGCAGAAGAAATGAGCACCAATTCCAATATCTGATTATAAAAAGACTGTGGCTTCTATCTTGGGTGTTTTTTCTCCCTCTCTCCTGGCAGCCTTCCAGAGAGATTCAGGAGGATAAGCTTGTGAAGGAAACCAAAATATTTCACCCCAAAATATACTCCTTTGACATATTTTGAGATGGCTGTTCAGAGGGCCCGCAGACGGAAGTCATCCTACAAAGCTGCCTTTTGTGGGGGAGATTCCCACCTGTAGAGAAAGCCCGCATGGATGTACCAAGCTTCCTCTAAGGCCCTTCTTTGGGATCTAAGAATGATTAACCAAAAGTGTGACACATTGAAGTGTCTAAAAGTAACATTTACCATCTATTCTATCTTATGGCTACGACGTGTGGGATTTCATCTACATAGCAAGGCTACCTTTGCTAGGTAGGCTTCTTCTCTCTTCTCTCCCTCCCATAACCTGTCTTGCCACCGTAACCTGATTTACCAACATCACCTGTTTTGGGTCACATTTTTTCTGTAACCCCAAGATGGTATAATAGTATCAAACATCGGGTTATCTCTTTGAGTTTTTGGTTGTAGGAGTCCCATGCACACATATGCATGTGATGATATTTGCAGGTCTTTTTTCCTGTTAATCTTTCTATCATCAATTTATTTGATAGAGGCACATTATCAAAACTCCAGGAGAAACATTTTAACTTCCCTACATATGGAAGTGTCTCTTCTGAGACTCGCCCATAGCCACATAAGTTAGCGTGAAGCTGACCTTTCCCCTTTGAACCGTGTTTATTGTTTTATCCTAGATTTAGGGGGTATATATGCATATTCATTATATGGACATATTGTGGAATGGTGGCAACTGGGTCTCAGGTGGCCCATTCCCCAGATAGTGACGGTTGTGCCCTGTAGGTCGTTTCTGAACTCTAAATCCTCCCTTCTCCCCCGCCTTATTGGTAACCTCAGTGTCTATTATTTCCATCATTAGTTCCCACATATTAGTGAGGACACGTGGCGTTTGGTTTTCAGTTTCTGAGTCAGTTTACTCAGGATGGTGATCTTCAGATCCATCCACGCTCCTGCAAAAGACATAGTTTCATTTTGTGTATGGCTATGTGGTATCCATGGTGTATATATACCACATTTGCATTATTCACTGATCAGTTGATGGGCATGTTGGTTGATTCCACATCTTTGAAATTGTGAATTGTGCTGCAATGAACATGCCGGTGCAGGAGGTTTTTTTATATAACAACCTCTGTTCCTTAGGGTAGGTGCCTAGTATTTGGGAATGCTGGATCAGGTGGTAGATCTACTTTTAGTTCCTTGAGTAATCTCCAGACCGCTCTCCAGAGAGGCTGTACTAATTTACACTCCCACCCACAGTGTACAAGTGTTCCCCTTTCTCCACATCCACGCCGGCATATATTATTTTCTGATTTTTTAATAATGGCCATTCTGACTTGTGATGGCTGCCACCCAAATCAGCAATTTGACTGCAACCTCATGAGAGACTCTGAGCCAGAATCACCCAACCCTTGATTCCTGACCCACAGAAACTGCGATGTAATAAACGATGTTTTCAACCACTACGTTGTGGTGTTATTGGTTATGCTGCTACAGGTAACAAATACCCTCCAATACCCTCCAATTTACAGATGAGACAAAGTTTATCCACAGAATAGAAAGCAGAAGTCGAGCTTTCAAACCTGTCTGCCTCTCAGGCCTAGACCCTTCTCCTTTCTCAGGGGTTCAACTGGCCTTTCTTCACTATGGACAGTAAGCCCCTCTCATGGTCTGGCAAGACCTGGACTATGAGGAAAGAAAGCCAGCTCAGAGCAGTTCGAGCTAGGCAAAACGTATCAGGTCCAGAGAGAGACCTCAGCCATGCCTCCTCCCCTGTCCTCATGGTACCCAGGCCTGGGGGCAACTGTCTAGTCATTTTGGTCCTGATTAGCTGCCTCACCCATTATTTTCACCATTCTGAAACCTATGATACAAAGAACAAAGTCTAAGCAATCAGTAGCTTATGGTATTTTAACGTGAATTTTTGGTAAACTGAGTGATCTTTCACTGAAACAAAGAACTGAGCATCACATGTCCTCATTCATAAGTGGACCTTGAACAACTATTGTGATAGTACAAGAAAAGGACTGACAGTAGTGGAAAACTGCCTGGGGAGGGAAGGGGGGCACCCCTCTTCAACAAGGGCACCTGCACGATGAATATCTGTATACCTAACCCTGAATTGTACCCCACAATTTTAAAATAAAAAACTTCAAGGTGAAAAAAAATTTGGTAAACAACATAGGAAGTGCCTTTTTTCCCTTAAAACTCCACTTGTAACTGCAGTTAATCAGAGCGCATTATAAGGGCAACATTCTATGTTCCCTGTTTGCAATCCTCAAGTTTCACCCAAATAAACTCTCTACCTACATTAATTTTTCCTAAGCTTTTGACTTTCAGGGTGACATCTATTAAGTCATATTCTTTACCATTTAACTCAATTTTCTGAAGTCTATTTGGGTAACAAACACACAATTTGGCGAGGAGAAGAAAGATATCTAAATGAAAGAAAAACACATTGTCGCAAAATCCGTGATGAATGTTGGCTCAGGGTACAAAATAGAGGGATTTTTTTTATTCAGACCGCTTATTCAGAGAGTTATCTCAAGGAATTTGCAGACCTCTCAGCAACTCTCACCCTATGCCCAATGCCTAGCAGACCTCCATGAGTATTTACCAACTAAGTAAGCACACTGTGGCTCGAAGGACATCAGATCAAGGGTGGAGAAGGAAGGAGAGGCTTCCACTCTTCCTTGTTGAAGAAGTGGCAACTGGAAGAGTCAAAGTTTATTTTAAAAAAACCACTTTGATTATAGAACTGCTCCATTTTGCTAGCCTGTAAGATCTACATCGACATTGCAACAAACTCCCAATCTTGGGCTATTTGAGGAACATTTAAAAAGTCTTCCATGCTCAAGTGCCATAATTATACTAGTGTTTACTTAATATCTTAAAAATACATATTTTTAAAAAGTGATTTTTAAAATTCACTAATTTTTACTTGCAATAGAATTTGGGGACCGTAAAAAAAATTCCATGGTAATGTGGTTTAAGTGGAAAATATAGACTTGGAAGTCAAACTAATTCAGGAAGAAATCTCAACTCCATCACTTAGGATTTTAAGGTGGTTTTCATGATTCTTTATTTCTTCGTCTATAAAGTAGCAAATAGCACCTTCCTTGTGTAAGGCACAGTGAAGAATCCATGTCATACATGCTGTGTCTGTAAAGCGCCTAGCAGAGTGTTCTATAAATGATGTATACTATGCTAAATACTCCTCAATAGGAATTCTTATTCCCACCTTTCTGATGAGACCGCCGAGAGATAGGGGAATTATAGTTTACATAACTAATCGAACATAACTAGTCTGAATTCACTATTTTATTTTCTAATAAAAAAAAAAATCTGTGTCTTCAGACTCAGAGCAAATTTGTGAATACAGGGGTCTTCCCCTACCCCTGGGAGTTGGCATCCGCTCGCTTTCATAAGAACCTCAACCTCTGTTGAATTGGCTGAGCCAGAAACTGACCCAGAGGGCGTCCGCAGAAGTACCTGTGAGGATTTCGGCGTCGCGATCTGTCGTTTTCTGAATCAGGAGCCTCAGGATTCCGCCCTCCAGACTCAGCAGCAGGGTTCCTGAGCCCTCAGACAGCTCTGTGGACAGAAGCAGACCATCCTTGTTCCATGTTCGAAACTGGAAACTCACTGAGAGCCCATCGATCTGGGGGGTGCCGGGCAGCAGCAAATAACTGCCGCTGGAGTTGACAAATGTGATGGGCACAATCTGTGGTTCGGAGCAGGAGAAAGTGACATTGCCCTGGAAAACAATAAAAGTCAAACATATAAAAGCCATTTTTTATTCTGCAATCTGACAGCTGATATATGCAACCACCTGGAGCTGACCTTAATTTCAGGATCATTCCACATTCAGCGGCAAGATCTTAAAGCAGAAAAATATGTCTGCTTGCTCAGAAAAATCTCACAAGATTGTTTTCCATTCCTATGTTAAGGATCAGAGTGTTATCTGCACGGAGGGAAACGGGAAAGTCCCAGAAGGAAGGAAAGGAAAGTGGACACATTTTCTAGGGTGTTTAAAAGTAACTACATTGGGGCCATGTGTCTCTGTAAGCTCCATCCTCCTCCCCAATCTGGGGGAGGTGGAACCCCCTTTTCTCTCTCTCTAATCTACCTTATAAATAAACCATACTTTTCTTCTACAAAAAAGTAATTACATTCACTCATTGAATAAATACCTATGGAAAGCCAGCTATGTGTCAAACTTCCGTGTCGATTTTGAAGAGGTACACAAGGAAGTTTGCTACAATGTTGCACTAGATGCCAGCTCCCCCCAACAGCCTGGCAGGAGAAATAACTAGACAAGCCAAGGTTGTCCATGGGAAGAAAAACAGAAAAAGGAGATGGGGAAGGGGCTGAGTGAATGTGACCTGGCCAGCATTTTCAGCAAAAGCCTGGAGAAATGAGCAACACGGCATCCCAAGGGGAACGCAAGGGAACTTGTCACTTCGAAGTAGTTGGGGGGGCAGGAAGGGTCAGGGAGCATGAAAGCAGGGACGCTGGGAAGGTGCATAGAGGCAAAATTTAAAAGCCTTCTGATGCAGGCCGAGTCATTTTCATTTAAGCACTGAAACACTGAAGTGACATGGGCCATAGTTTTAATTTCATAGGAGTATTTTCGGTCACAAGGGTGGGGCATGAAGGAGAGGACGGGACTTGGTGACTGTTCAGTGCCACGAGAATAGACCCTAAAAGGAGAGTAACATTACTCTTTGCATACGCCTACAGAAAATGGGTTCAAATATATTTGAGAATCACCCGAATAAGGAAGTTATGGGCAATGAAGGAAAAAATACACATGCCCAACTGATCCCTTGTGCTGGGCTCCCTTCTGAACGATGAGGAAGGAGAAACCCTGGAATACCGCCCTGGTTGTGAACAGGTGCTCTGTTAGGGAAGACGTTTGGAATTTATTTTCCAAGTCCCATAGCCCATCACATCTTCTTTTCCATTCCTTCCATTTGTCTCCTTTAGACTCCAAGCAGGAATCTCCATAGTACAGCGAGCTTATTGATAAGTTCATCCAAAGAGCCACAGACAGATCACATTCCCTGTAAATATCTCTTTTTAAGGCTTCTGCATGGCCACCTTTGCACGATGCCGATCACCTTTTCCAGCTTGAGTCCGCAACCAGAGCCACTTAAGCAAAGAGTCAGTGATTCTGCATGGGGAATACCCTAGCTTGAATGGCTAGCTGAAGGCAACTTTCTGCCAATGGGGTCAGGTGGCAGTTAGACACATAGTACATACAGTTCTCAGTCCCAGAGCAGGTTAATGATTCCGAAAACTTCTTATCTGGAAAAACATCCCTAGGTCCCAACGATGTTTTGTTTAAGATAGTCTTATATTTCCAAAAATGAGTGACCGTCCGCAAACTTCTGCCAATTATACATTTCTAATGATTCACTCATCAATCGCGCTGCATATTCTTGCATAAATCATTTGCTGCAGTTCAGATGTTTTCTTCTTTTCAGGCCAGATCCTCAGAAGTTAATTGTGTCAAAGGGTGAGGTCCTTGATATCCATGAAGAAATCGCCCACACTTTATATTACCTCACTGTACCAGGCAGTAAGATACGTGTTTGCATACCTATCTTGTAAATTCTGCACAACGGTGTTATAATGTGTAATTTTCTCCATTTAAAGGTTGGAAAAACTGAGCTCAGAAGGAATAAATAACTTAACAAAATCCATGTCTGTCTGACTTGTAAGTTCTTGCTTGCAGTCACTGAGACAGAGCAGGCCTCCTATCAGGGGCCTGTCGGTACCCCCAGTCCCCAAAGTGTAAAAATAAAGGGAAAATCTTGAGTCCCTTCAGGGTAAATTCCAGGCATTTAGTTAGCCTTGAAAAGTAAAAGAACAACAAGAAGATAGTGACAAAAGTCTCCCAAGCAAACCAGTCACAAGATATTTCGGTTCCCCATAGAAACTAAAAGATAATACTTTAACATATGTTCTCAAGTTGATCTCAGAAACTCCTCCCCCTGATGTAAAATGCCAACCACTATCACATAAATCTCAGATAAGTGGAAACTGAGGACTGAACTCTGACTGTCACTCTGTATTCCAAATTTCTTCCCAAAGGTTCTGAGAAAAGTCACACTCATGGACCAAGCCAATGCCTAACTTTTGTGTGTTGGTTTATGATTTTGCCTGCAATTTCTGCTTTCCTGAAATGCACCTCTCTGCCTTTTAAAAGGTTTGCATGAAAGCCATCAAGTTCAAATCTTAGCTGCCCATTCTTTTTGCCTGGCACTGTGCAATAAATGTCCATTTCTCCTTCTGCAAATCTCAGCCTCAGCATCTGACTTTACTGCACCACGTGAGTGAGTAGATCTCAGCTCAGTTTGGTAACACCATCATCTCTGATACCCCCCTTCTCTGAACTGGGTGCAACCATTTTAGAAAATCTACCAACCTGCTTGTGGTATCTCCACATTGTTTGAATTGGTGGTTTGTGGTTTCTAACAAATTCCCTTTCAAGAGTAAAAACATCCCCACTGGTGGCCAACTAATTGTGGCAGTGCTATCTTTTAAACGAAGTGAAATAACAAATGTTGTTCAAAGAAGTTAGGAGACAATAGTAACTTTTCTTTCTCCTTTCTTTTTCTAAGGTCAGTATCCTCTTTTCTGGGATAACAAACCTGCCCAAGCACAGCCGTAACCAAAGTCTGAGGTTGTGTACAGGGAGAATGATTGGGAGGTAATCACCAAGATGGCAAAAACATGGGATGTTGCAAAAATGCCCCTTCCTCCTACTAATTCCAGATTCAGTTTTGCTTCACCCAAGCCCTCATCTCTCTGGATCGCAGTCACAGAAAGTTGATCTCAGGAGAGTGGGGGACTATAGCAGGAGTTCCCAACCTCCAGTGCCAGGCTGGGGCCTGTCAGGAACGGGGCCACACAGCAGAAAATGAACAGCGGACAAGTGAGGTAAGCTTTACCTGCATTTACAGCTGCTCTCCACCACTCACCTTACGGCCTGAGCTCTACCTTCCGTCAGATCAGCAGCGGCATTAGAGTCTCATAGTAGCATGAGCCCTACTGTGAACTCCACGTGCAAGGGATCTAGGTTGCACGCTCCCTATGAAAATCGATGGTCTGAAGTGGAGCTGAGGCGGTGATGCCAGCGGTGATGGAGAGCGGCTGCAGATACAGATGAACGTGAGCGGTGAGGCTTGACTGCATTCCCTGATTGTCTTCCACAAAACTAATGCCTGATGCCAAAGGGCTTGGGGACTGCGGGACTAGAGGACCTGAGGTTCTTTCCTTATTTGGTCAGTTCACTCACATCTGACAAGCAGTCTGGCTTCCTTTCTTCATTCCACTGTCTAATCAAATTGTTCATTCTGAGCAGGGGAGCTCAGACTCGAAGGAGTCCCTGGATTGGACCCTTGGGGCAAGGACTTTAAATACATGCTTTCACGGTTTCTCCTGGCTAGGGAAAGGACATGGGTGGGGATTAGCACCTTTCTCAAAAGAAGGCAGGAGAAACTTTCAAATGCCTTGGGGTATGTTCTCTGTCCTTTGCTGCAGGCCATACTTCTCTCTCCCTTTCCCTCGTTCCTTCCGCTTTCCTCCACTCTCTGGAGCCTCATGCAGCCTCTCCTGCTGTTTAAAGCTTCCTTGTTTTTAAAGCAGTCCCCTGCTATGTTGTCCAGTGGTACATCCAAGGGCAAGTAGGAGAGAGGAGATGTGACTCAATCGAAAATCCACTCTACACCAAATCCGACCCGGCTCTCCAGGCGTGTGCAAGTGTTTGCAACTCTGCTCCTGTCACACAGCTGCTGGGTGCCACTTCAGTGACAGTTCCGTAGCAGTGGTGCTTGCCACTAGCAGAAATGCCACACAGTGTTGAGGACCATCAGCACCCACTCCCACTCACCGAAGTGAGGCCAAAGGAAAAATGAGGCACATGTAAAAGTGCTGCTTTTGAAATCAACATGGGCAGTTTCATCACTTTCAATAGTTCCATGTGTGAGTCTGGAATCCTCAAAACAGCATTTGAAGGAGTCCCTGCTGGTCATTTAGAAATTATATGCCAGAAGATAATTTAGTTTAGGATTATGTCAAAGAACCCATGGCAGGTGGTCTGCAGACTACATTCTACACTATATACAGACATCTTTAAGCTATTTCTTCACATTTCATCCCTCCCACCCCACGAAGGGAACTCCATTCCTCAAAGTCCCTTCCTAGCCTGTATGTTTAACTCTTTCAAGATTTCAACATTCATTCCAGACTTCCTAAGCATTGTAAGTCAATGTCCTCAGCACAGGAGTTTATAAGTTATGCACATAAGCGTGCCCCTGATTCTTTGCATTCTACAGTCATTCGGGGTCCATGCCCACTGTGATCGGTACAAGATGGGCCATGACAAAGGAGATGACACTGGGATCAGAGCTGCAAGGTAAAGCAACTGGCCCTGCCTCACAGGTGAGATTGGAAGAAAGCCACTGAACAGCCGGGAGTCCTTTGTTTCCTCGCCATCTCTTATGATACTTATAGAATGATATCTTTCACCATCCAAAGTGGAAGTCATTCTCCGTTGAAGGGACTTGGTATCTGAAGCACCATTTCTGACCCCACCCACTGAGTTCTGGTTAGATGGTGGCCTCTGCTGTTTGACTGAGGCACCTGACCAGACCGTGGTAAGCCTCCCCAAGGCAACAGCTGCCAGAGGGCACTGGTCCCCCAAGTGGAGAGGTCAGACTTTGCTCCCAAGATAGCAGTTCTTAGTGC